TTAGGGTTTAGGGGGCTTTGGGGTTCTATTGTTTGTTCCAAAAAAAAAAAGTCCAACAAGGATTATGGGATTCGCGCTCGCGCAAGGGTCTTAACAGGGGCTGTTAGGTTTCATGGAGTATGGTGCTTGAGGGTGCAAGGTTTCATAGTGTTTTTTTTTAATGCTGTTCACTGGCTCTTGGGAGCTTTGGCTGGATGCTGTGGCAGCCTGGAGCGTTGTGGTGGGTTTAGGTTTAGTNNGGTTTAGGGTTTCAGGGTTTAGGCCTTAGGGTTTAGAGCTTTGGGTTTAGGGTTTCAGAGTCCCTTGTAGGGTTTGAGGATTTGGGCTTGGGGTTTAGGGTTTAGCGTTTAGGGTTTAGGGTTTAGGGTTTAGGGTTTAGGTTTAGTCTAGGACATTTTCAGGTGGCTAGGGTACCGTTATAGGAGCCTTATAGGTCTATATACCTTATAGAAGCCTTATATACCCCAAACTGCCCACCTGTAGTTTCACCTAAACTTAAACCCTAAACCCTAAACCCCTAAATCCTAAATAAATCCTAAACCCTAAACCCTAAACCCCAAACTCCCCACCTGTAATTTAGGGTTTTTTCGCTGCCCTTTGTGTTGAGGACTCGCACTTGGCGAGGCCTGACGACGTCATCGAGAAGGCCTGGGCCTGGGGCATGAGGGAAGGGTTTAGGGTTTAGGGTTTAGGGTTTAGGGTTTAGGGTTTAGGGTTTAGGGTGTCTGGGCTGAAACCTTTCGGGTTTCGGGTTTAGGGTACTACCAGGCGTTCTTGCTTGCAAGCCTGCAGCAAAAAGGGAAACCCTAGGGTTTAGGGTTGAGGGGTTTAGGGTTTAGGGTTTAGGGAAACCCTAGATTTTAGGGTTGAGGGGTTTAGGGTTTAGGGTTTAGGTCCGTGCTGAAAAAGGGTTTAGGGAAACCCTAGGGTTTAGGGTTGAGGGTTGAGGGTTTAGGGAAACCCTACAGTTTAGGGTTGAGGGGTTTAGGGTTGAGGGTCTAGGGTCTGGGCTGAAACCTTTAGAACGGAAGGCCGACAGGGGCTGTTGTTTGGCGCACCGAAGCTTCTTGCAGAGGGGGGTTGCGCGCCTATGTTTCAGGTGTTGGCCAGGCCTGCATGCCTCCCTGCATACATACATGCTTGACACCGCATGTACACACATGCATGCACACATACATTCATTGGTCATACATGCCTACATGCCTACATGCATACAGACAGAGCGACATGGGCAGAGACAGCGGCAGCAACAGCGAGACAGAGACCGACACGTACACGCATACGTGCAGACGCGGACCCAAATATATTGAAAAAGCTATGCTAGTTCCTTCTTGTTCAGGGTCCTTGCAACAAGGCTTTCGTTATTCAAACCGTTGATTCTAAGAAGCTTGTGAGCCAATGTTGGGGAGGTTTGAAGGGCCCCGCCTGGCGCGTCCCCGTGCGCCACTCCGGACCCCCTGATTGCAAGCTCTGGGGGTTTCCGAAAATAAGGGGTACCTTATTTTGGGGTCCTGATAATAGGGATCCTACTATTTAGGGTACTCTATTAGGGTCCCCGATTTTCGGAAACCCCCATATGGAACACCGGAAACACCAAACCACAAAACAGCCAAGGATAGACCTATGCGCAAGCAAAACGCTATCGCTGGGGCCCGCAGGATTGAGTTCTCGGAGGATTTCAATTAGCTTCAGGACCCACCTTCCTCCAAGCAGGCCCAAATCGAGTAAAGCTTCGGGGAATGCCCCGCTCACAGAATCATTGGCCAAAGGTGAGCACACCTCTGCTACCCATGGCAGACATGCCACTCGGCGCAGATAACAAGGGGCCATCGAATTTCTAGCTGTCTCAGGGCTTGAGGTTTTGGGCTGCCCTCTTGGGACAGCCACGCCGCTGTCTTGACATTGGTTGAGGTGTATTTTGGCAGGGGCCTCTGTACCACATGTTTCCCGTCACGGAAAACCATCCCCTGATACTGGGTGCGGGTTACGAGATTGCTTTCGGTGGGGCGGGTACTGAGCCCTGAAGCTATGATCCTAAACATAAAGCGAAGCTGTTTTGACCAGTCGTCGTGAAGCTTTGCCTACTTGTGCGAGCGCGAGAGTCGAAAACCTAAACCATTTAGACCATGTTTGGCGATGGTCAGGCCTTCTCCGGCAAGGGCCTTTCGCCCATATTCCAAGTGCCAAGAAGTCTTGAGCAGTAAAGCTGAGGTTTGTGGAAGTTATGTTGAAGGATATTTATTATCGGTCCTGATTTTCGGGATCCTCGTAATTGAGGTCTACACCTTGTTCCCGTTCTTTCTGAAACTTCCACGGGGAAGCGGGCAGATGCGATGTGGCGACCTGCGAGGTTCTGCTTTACGGTGATGGGCCTGCCGACTACGGAGCAGCCACTACTCACAGGCCTCAGAAACGCCAAGACTAGGTAACTAAGACAGTCTTGAAAGTATTGCTGAGAGTGTATTTGGGATTGTTCGTGCATGTTCCTAACAAGCGTCTAGGGGCTGCCAACCCCTAAACCCTAAACCCTGATAAGCGTCGAGGGGGCTTCCACCCACCCCACAGTGGAGCTTATCTTGCCATCTCATCGGCTTCGTGCTTGTGCTGATGCTGCTGTTGGTGTTGCTCTTGTCAGGGGTTTAGGGTTTAGGGTTGAGGATTTAAGGTTTAGGGGTTTAGGGTTTAGGGTTTAGGGTTTAGAGTTGTAGGGGTTGAGGTTTACGGTTTACGGTTTACGGTTTAGGGTTTAGGGTTTAGGGTTTGGGGTTTAGGGTTTAAGGTTTACGGTTTACGGTTTAGGGTTTAGGGGTTAGGGTTCAGGGTTTTTCCTGGGCAAGGTATGGAAGTGCGGTCATGAGAGCTGAATTTCTGTAGGCTCAGACATTCAGGCGATTGCACAGGCCCTGATGCAACAAGAAGTCATGTGAAGCTGGCATGCACAACATCCCGGATTATTATGTACATCTGTTAACTCTGTCGTAGGGAAAGCTCAGGCTACGAGTCCGAAGTTGAGCTGCTTGTCATTGAAGAAGAAGCGAGCCAGCTTTGTGTGCCGTTGCAGATTCATGTTGTTTGTATTGCGAGTACGACAATCGCAGCCTTTTATCTAAGTTATGCCGTTGCCCGGGGCTTCACTGAAGTCGAGCTTGGCTCCTTGGCAAAAGAAGTTTGTGCCGCTCAGACCCGAGCAGACAAAGCAGAGACTGCAGGGAACTTCCGCGCCATCTTCGAGCACTTGGATGTAGACAACTCCGGCCGATTGGAAATGAACGAGGTCCGGAATGAAAGGGACAACGTGATTCTCAGGGCCTTGAGTCTCTGTCTTGAGGTCCGGCAGTGCCTCAACATAATCCAGTCGCTTGGCGGCATCGTCGATCGGATGTGCCCCAGATCAGAGCTGGAGCGAACCGAGGCACAAGGCCACCTGGCAGGTGAGGACCTCGTGGCTAGAGCTTCCCCGCTGGGAGCCTTCTTGCTCGAGGTGTGCGGTGTGCCCCCTGATGCAGGCTTTTGATGATACCTGGCGCCTGCTGGATAAGGACGGGCTTTGATGAGGGAAGTGGCTTCGAGAAGATGTGAAGCTGGAGCATCGTTGTAGCCCGAGACCGTGGCCACTGTAGAATCGCACCACTCAGGCAGCATTAGGAGCAAGGTTCGGCCAGTAGTTTTATCGCATGGTCGTTCGCCAGATGTTTGTGTTCCCGGCCCGTGCATCAATTGGCTGTGCCTGCCAGGATGCATCAGGCAGCCTGGACTTCCATGAGCTCCATGCGCAGCATTGGCAGTAATGAATTTGGACATATTCTGCTCGAAGTGAGCGTGTCGTCGTACTGCGCTGTCGACTTCTGTTGAGAGGAACTGCATCATTACAGGGTCTTCTGCCGCTGGGTCACCGTTCGCCTCTGTCATCATGGGGTTATAGCATGTCAGGACGCAGCTGTTCTTGACTTCTCGGGCTATTGGTACTGGCGGCAAAATTATTGGAGTGTTTCCAGAGCCAAGGTTCATTGACTTCATGAGGCCAGCCCGTCTTGCGAGCCTTTCAGCTTTTGCATGAATGCGCAAACGTCCCGACGAAGTATTGCCAACGCTTCTGCATGAAGGGCAATGCGAGATGGGGAAGGCATCTTTGCACTCGACCGAGCAGCCAGCCTGCATCCAGTCAAGCCGACATTCGCCTTCCACATTCAGAATTGCAACGACGGACTTGCAGCCAAGGAGCAGAAGGTGCCTAACCTTGTTAGCAAGCTCGATGACCGGACTTTGCGGTCCGTTCTTTCGTCACTTCATCGCACCAGTTGTCCAGGGCTTCTGGTCCTGGCTGTGCAAACGCTTTGCGTCCAATCCTCACGGCGATCCAAGGCACTATGGCTTGTCAAAATCTTACCTCTGGGCCTTGGACCGAGTGCCTTCTTTGCATCAAGTGTCTGCCATGAATGATTCATCAGCGCTGCTGAGTTTTTTGATTTCTCGGCCCCGGCATGTGCAGGATCGAGAATGGAGATACTTGTAGGGATGCTTCCTTGGCTTCTGAGCTTTCAGAGGCGCAATTACTTCAGCGGTTCTGCGACTGCTTCCTCATTATGACCACTGACAATCCTCAGGAGCCATGCCTTGCTTGTTCCTTTACTTTTGCATGCCATATTACTATAATGTACTATGATATACCAGAATATACGGTCATATACTCTACTGTACTACCATATACTGTTTATGTATTGTGATGCCCCGTGACTTTTTGTTTCGCTTCTTGCAGGACGTGCTCAAGGTCACAACTGTTTCGGATCTGTTGCAGTGCCCTGGCGATGATAAACAGACATCGGCCTCAAAGTCAGCAAAGACGAGTCTGGAAGCTGCTACAGTACAAAACCATTGCTAAGTGTCAGCAATGATGTATGCGCTACACCCTAAACCCTAAACCGTAAACCCTAAACCCTAAACCCTAAACCCTAAACCGTAAACCCTAAACCCTAAACCCTAAACCCATCTTCATGTGCGGAGACCGTGCGTCGCGAGCCCAGGCTGGCCAAGGAAGCGGGGACATGTTTTGGAGCAAGTAATCCCTGCAGATTTCTCCCTGGCAAGTCTGGTGACCTCGAGCTTCTTATCACAGATGCTGTCTGACAGTCTGAGGGTGATTTGACATGATTTGACTTCGAAGTGTTCTTGTGAAGCATGTAATGCGTAAAGCATGGGAGGAGAAAGGCGAGTCTTTGGCCCTTGGTCAGCAAGCAGGTGCTGTTGTTGAAGGGCATGTGCAAGTGCTGCTTCAATTGCGTCCACTGATTGCCGAGGACGCCGTGCGATGGTAGCTGAAGAAACACTTTGGCAACCAGTGCACTCGTGACTGAGGGGGCTCTTTCATGTTTCTTTCTTGGCAGAGCTCGCACGCTGTTATGTGCAACTCGCTGCGAGCATATGAAGTTCCCAAGGCTTTCCTTCGACACCTGCAGGTGCGAGCAAGTTCCCGTTTCTGTGCACCGAGCCATCAGGAGAATTGCTCCGGAGAGGTAGGGCCGTCAATTTGGTTTCTGAAACGTGAGCACTGTCGGCCAAGCCGCCTGTGAAGATCTCTTTAGTAAATCTTTGCAGCACTCCGTTTCTGTATCGCACAAACCAGTGAGCCTATGCGTTCAAGGAAAAATGTGACCAAGCCGCAATAGACCAATAACTCAGGAAGGTGTCGTGTGCGCATGGGTAGTGTCAATTGGCTCCAGCAGTGAGTCAGTGCCTGGGAGAGCCAACAGCGGTCGGAAGACACGGTTCCGAGGTCCTCATCGGACGCTGTGGGCAGCTCGGGTTTCCGAACCTGCGGTACAGACGAGTCTTGCATTGCCGGAAGACGCTGCGCACACCACAGCGACGCGTGCCATGGTAGGAGGCCCTGGCCCTAGCCTCGACAGAGCTGTTGAGCCAAGGCCAACAGCTTGGCAGCAGTTGGCCGATATGCTACCGACTTCGAGGAGTGCGGTATGCTGGTTGAGATAGTGACGGTTGTCACCCGTTGCAAACATGTCACGAAGGAGCTTCGCTTCCTGGGCAAGGGCGGTTTCGGATTCGTGACAAAAGCTCAATGCTCAGTCATTCTTGCAAGAGGGAAGGAGGTGTGAGAGGTAGCTTGTCGTTGGCTATCGGCATCATGGAGTGATGGTGTATTCTGTCGTGTAGGCAGAGATCTGCGTGCACACGCGCATATCTACATCTGTGTGTATGCATGATTATACATGTATACATATGTGTTCTAGGTTTAGTTTCCAGTAGGAAGCACCGTCGTGTCTTCCACTCTCTTTGGCCACTTGCAGCTGTCGGTCTTTCCATCATTCTCTCCCGTCTCGCTTCTCTCCTCTGTCTCCATCCCTCTCGACTCGCTCACTCTCTATGCCTGCACCCGCACGGCTCGTAATTTTCTCGTCGCATGGACATCATTTCGTTCCTCAGGCATCTGGCCACTGACGGCCGTTGAAATACGTAAACGACGCAAACACAGTCCTGCATCCCATCTCGTTTTGGGGCTTTCGTTGATTGGCCTTCTGGAAGTACAGCGAGCCCCAGGCGCGACATCGAGTGGATCGCACGGGGCCTGGCGTTGCACTCCGAACAGTCCTGTGGCAGGTGCAGAGCAAGAAGACTTGAAACAACTGAGTTTTCGAGAAGGAGTCAGGAAGAATCATCGGCGTGTAGGCGGATCAGGTCAGGGAAGATGCTTATAAGGCTTCGCCCGGCCTGGATTATCAAAGCAAATCTGCAGACAAGGTCAGCTCTATGCGGTCAAGCGCCGCGTGCCGAGTCAGTATCAAGCATGGCAGAGAGCACTGGGGCGACATGAACATCTCAAGACGTGCCGGCAAGCCTTGCATGAGTGCATGTGGGGACTATGCAATTTTGGCGAAGCCTGATTCGACGCATGTGCGGCGAAACTGGTGCCACTTGCGCGTGTGAGATGTGTAATGCGATAAAACGACAAATCTCAGCGGCAAGCTGATCCAGCAGATATCATTATCATGACGACATCTGGAGAAGCTGAATACGCTCCCCGTGTGGGAGCTGGTCGCGGCAGCGCTCGCTGAGAAAAAATCTTCCCACAGGGATCAGGTATTTTTCTTTCTGTAGCTTCTGGCTGCATCATCGTTCCTTGTAACGCAGCAGTTCGAACCAAGAGGAATGTGGTGATGATAGTCAAGTCTGTGACTTATGACAGAAGGTGCCTTTCTGTCCCACTGCCTCTCCCCTCTTCCCGTCTCCCGCTCTCTCCTCTCCCTCACTCTCCCTCAACCGTAAACTTGATCACTGATTGCCAAGGCCTAGAGCTGCGAGGCTCTGCGATGGACCGCGAGCGACTCCTCCAAGAGTGCGCTTTGTTGCCCAGGCCAGGGGCTCAGGGGCTTCGAGCTCTTTGGAACGTCACTCATAGGCTTTATTCAAAAATCGATGCGCTAACACAATAGGTAACAAGACGACAAAAGTCATAAACATGAAAACAACAATCACGGGATTTGGTTTCAGGGCTTTGGCGTCAGAGACCTGGATGCAAAAGGGTTTTGGCAATCTCCCTTTTCTTCGCCATGAAATTAAACAGGATTTAGCGATGCACAAAGCAATACAGACAAACATGCTCACCCACACTCACCCACCCACACCCACCCTCCCACACCCACACCCACATCCACGACCACACTCACACCCACATCCACACCCACACCGGAAGTGGCCTAGAGGACACTGTTGCTCGCGGACCTTGTGGGGCGCTTGCAGCCCCTAAACCCTTGGTACAGACCAACCATGCCTGCCTTGAGCGAGAGTGTGAGTCGAAACCCCTGGCAAGCTAGCAAGCAAGCAAGAGAGAGAGACGGGAGAGAGAGTGAGAGAGACAGAGCTCAAACTTGCCGTCGATGTACTGCAGATCTAAATTTGGCATGTTTTTCAGGTTACTCCAAGAGGGCTTCTTCGGCATTTGCATTTCAGCAAAATCCTCTAAACCCTCGAATGGTGGGGTGGACCTTTGTGGGTGACTCTAATGCCTTAGGCCTTAGAGAAAGAGAGAGAGAGAGAGAGAGAGAGAGAGAGAGAGCCATTTTGGCTCAAGCCGTGAGCGGTTCAAAGGCCCAGCCCGAGTCCGGGGCCTCAACCGGGTGCGCTTGAGAGTGAGGGGAGAGATCTGCGAAGGGGGAGGCCGACCTGCACCCCTCGTGGACCCTGTGCCGCCATTCGAGCCCCGCTACAAGATCGCTGAACTACGCGACTTCCTCGCAGGGGCTCTCCGGGGCGACATCGGTAAGTCCGGAGCTCGAGGGTGCCGCTGCTTAGGCGTGCGGGGGAGTTTCAAGACAGCTACCACACGGATATCGGCGGCCCTACACATACCGAACGACAGAGGTGCGATTCACGGCACCACCGAGGGGAGACAAAGTACCTGCGGGGAGGGATCGTGATACTACAGCGACGCTACCGAGAACAATAAGTACCCTACGCATTGGCACCATGCTCGCCGCAGGATCTGGACCGGGGGAGACGGGGAACAACCCCCCCAACGCCCCAAAGAGACAGCGCGAACCTACATCGGGACGACTGGAAGAGGACGACCAGGCCGAGAAGATCACGCTGAACTCCATCCGCGATGCTATCCGTGAACAGCTACGCGAAGAACGCCATATCCTTACAGGGGAACTCCGTGAAGGCCTGGCCCAGGTTCATACCAGGATCGACACGGTGGAACAGTGCACGACGACCCTCATGCAAACCATTACCGAGAAGCAGGTTGCAATTGACGCCAAGGTGGACAAGATCGAGGAGCAGAACACTTGCCTTGTCACGAGAATGGACCTCCTTGAGGGGAAGTTCACGGCGGCGCAGTTCAATACTAGCACCCGGGGATCTGATGGCTCGTCAACGGAAGCGCCGAGGCCAGCTATCGTCCTGGGGGGATGGGCCTCTGAACAAGCCGCCTCCGAGACGCTGCGACTCGTCAAGCAACACGTCGCCCAACTCCAAGTCGACTTGGACATGGACGAGGCCTTTGTTCCAGGGCTTCGGAGGGGATTTGCTATCCTCCCAGTGCAACCACGGGAAGGGGAAGATGCTGTGAGCCACCGACGCCGAATCCAGGACTCGCTCCGTACAATCAGAGCGGCAAAGATTGTCACGGGCCCCCGACCCGAAGGGGGGAACAGATACTTCTTCGCCACGATGAGCCAGCCACTGGAGCGACGGCGCCGAGCACAGCTGGCGGGGAAGATTAAGAGACTTATTTTGGAGGCCGGGGGACGAAGTCAAGCCCTCGAGGTGGAGTACGGCACAGCCAACGTGTTGTACAATGCCGTTAAAGTTGCCTCCGGGGTCACTACAGCGCCATCCTCTGCACGACAAGAAACCGGGGGATGGATCGCGATCGGCCCCCTTGCCCGCCAGCTCGGCACCTCTGACGCCGCGCTTGGGGAAGCATGGGATGAGCTCCGCAAGGGGCTGAGCTGAGACGACGTGGACCGCGAGCTGTTTCACAAGCCCGGGGGGACTGCCTCCGAGCTGCAAATCCTGAGCTGGAACGTGGGTGGCCTAACTATGGCTAAAGCCCTCAAGGTTCTATGCTCACTCCGTGATGCCCGAATTCATCCCTTTGATTGCAGTCTGGTGGTTTTTCTCCAAGAGATCATCGTCGAGACTGGCAAGCACTTTCACGAGGAAAAGGAACTTCAGATTTTCGCGAGCAAAAGAGATGACGAGTGGCGGGGGACTGCAATTGCGCACTCCGCTGATGTGAGCCGGGTGGCATGCAAACAACTAAGATGTGCCTGCTCCTGCACGCTTGAGATAGGCAGGTTGCGATTTGCCGCCATCTCAGCCCACATCCCGCACAGTGCCAACCTGCAGGAGACGGAAGACATCCTCGAGATGATCGCCGACCAGCTGGCACAAAAACACAAGGCGGCCCTTGGCTTTGACGCAAACGAAAGTTTCGAGATGCGACAGGGGGAGGCCTTGCTCTCCGAATCCAGCCGCGGGGAAACCATCCTCCGATGGCAGGAACACAACCGATTGGTGTTCCCTCTGCAAAGCATTCACAAGAGCAGCTACTACCCCTACAACACCAGGTTCAAAGATAGACGCTTGGATTACGTCATGCTGAAACACCTCGAAGCAGGGGAAGGAGATGTACTACAACATCGAGACATAGCGACTTCGGACCATGAACCCGTTTGGGTTCCCATCCAGGTTCGAGCGCAACACACAAGGTTGACCATACGAGCACCCGAATGGGGGAGTCGCCGACTGCGTGGTCCTACCGAGGTCGCTGCCGTGATGTCTACCCCGCCCTCCA